CTCTTTCGTGATTGAGAATTGTGTGATTAAAGATCGACAATGCAAGTGGTGCGTTATTTTTGCATGCCACTGTATGAATAAATCATATGATACGATCCAGATCAAATTCTATGTCACGTGAAACTACCTGGCTTTAGTGTAAAAATTTCTTTAGCGTTAGTTTTTGATTTTGCGATTTGATTGGTTTACCTCTTAAAAACTCACGTGATCGACACTTTGGTGCTGCAAGCAAGTCGACTTGATCCTTGTAGCCAATAAGAAATTAGAGATATCATATTTGTTTGATGAATCGTCGATTCATCAACTTGATCTTTTTTGTCAAAGAATTTGTGATATTATATTTTTCTATTATTATACCTTGTTCTTGTGACAAGGCTACTTATAAGTAAATGGAAGGTGTCGTGACAACAACTTCAGTGAAAATTGAACAGAACGACCAAATACACGGGCCATCGCCACCTCCAAACTTTGTAGTATGTTTTGACGTTTGTAAATAAAGTCTGAATTCTATTGAATCAGCCTAACTTAATTTTTATTTGAAATGACGATATAAAGCGACAAAAACCAGCGGAAGATAGTTCTGTACCAGAAAAAGATAGCTCTAAAGACGAGGCTATTGTCCCATTACCCGCTTCAGTACCAGGTTCAGCAACGGCAATTGAAGTGAAACCAGAATCTTCAGAAAAGAAACGAGACTCTGGAACAACAGTAAAACGCGAACGTCAAAACTCTCGCTCGAGGATGCGCTCAAATTCACGCAATCGTCGACGCACAGTCTCGAGAAGTCGGTCTCCCAAAAAATCAGGGCGTTCCTCACGACGTCATAAACGTCGCTCTCATTCAAGGACCTCCTCAAGTAGAAGTCCTTCTAAAAGCAGAGATAGGCATCGAAGGTATTTTAATAATTTTATTCTTTATTTGCTTGTAAGTAAATGCTGATAATATTTTTCTTTAGATCTCGAAGTCGTGGAGAGAAAAGCACTGCTGTTAGGAATCGTTACAGTCGAGAGCGCAGTATTAGCCGTGGTAGAAGAAGAAGAAGAGATACCAGAGATGTAAATTTTTTATACTTTCATTTGCATGTTAGTCGATCAACTCAAAATTATTAATTTATTTCTTGTTTACTTATAAGGAGCCTGAACCAAGTCGCGTATTGGGGGTCTTTAATCTGAGCCTTCGAACTGAAGAGCGAGACTTAAAACATATTTTCGAACAATATGGAAAAGTTAATGAAGTTATAATTGTTTACGACCACAGGGTAATATATTATACATTATCTAGTAAGATTGGTGTGGTAACTACTCACTAATTTATATATTTAATAAAAGACTGAACGCTCTCGTGGATTTGGTTTTGTCTACATGGATTCTATTCATGATGCATATAATGCAAAAGATAAAACGAATGGAATGGTATTTACTTTAAATTTACATTAAAGTTTTACTCATTCTAAAACCTGATTTATTGCTGAAAATTTGCATTATTTCGCTTAGGAACTTAATGGCAAGAATATGCGTGTCGATTTTTCTTTAACGCGCAAGGCTCACACTCCAACTCCAGGTAAATACATGGGCGATGAATCCAGGGGATCATATGTCTCTCGACGCGGTACAACGTATCGGCGATCACCCTCCTATTCACCACCGCCACGCTATCGCTCTAGAAGAATTCGTTCGCGCACCCGCAGTCGTAGTTGGTCAAGGGGTAGAGCACGATCACGGAGTCGCAGTTTTTCAAGGAGAAGGTCGCCTAGTCGATCCAGACGTTCTCGAAGCTATTCTTGATACGATATATAAATGGTAAATTATTCAATGTTCTATTTTGTTAATAGTTAAATTTTGTTCTAAAATTGTTTCTTTTTGATGGAATTCATATACTCAAGGATGATCCTACTATATGCTATTATCATTATCGT